ATACAATGTAAAAATCTTTTCCGCTTTTGGATTAAATTCCACCTTTCTGGATAACCGTAAGGGTTCTGGCCTACGACTTCCTTCAACAAAAATAAATAATTTTCAGTGCTGAAGCGAAGTCGTTTTCTACTACTTTTCATTATCTCAAAAAATCAAAACAAATATACTTAACCACAAATGTTATGAAATATTGATAGTTTGGTAATCGGGTAAGATCTCCTTGCGCATTCGGTTACTCTCGGCTCGATAGGGATGCGTATGAACGTAACGTATCAGCCCGTTACGTTAGGTAATACGTATCTAGATACGTTAGTTCAACCATTAATGCGCATGCTTATATGTTAAAAAGATACGTTACGTATACGTATTTGCTTGCACAAAAACTCTAAAAATCATTTACATTATTTAATTTTTATACTGCGCATGCTCCGTTGTCAAAATAACGTTACCGTATTCTCACTTCACTTGATGACTCTCTTATATTAAGCAAAGAATCCGCCAAAATCCAAATTACAAATGAGCGCCCGCACTGTCATGCGTGGTTCATTAACAATTAAAACAATGTTTTAAAATAAAATAAGTCCAGAATTTTCATCGGAAGCTAATAGACGAATGATCGAACATGAATTTAGGCACTTGATAATTACTAAAATAATATTTTGACTTGTGGTTTTGAGTTTTGAAAATTGTAATTTTGTGTTTTTTTCAGTTTTAAATTATTTATAACTCGAAAACTATCAACTTTAAAGGAAACCTACATCAGATCTTTTTTTATCATAATGATCTTAAAAACCTCAAAAAATGAACCTACTAAACCAGCAACAATTTGTGCTATATATCTTGTTTCTTTCTCTTATACACGCCGCAGCAAGAACGCTCGCCCTGTCATACGCGCTTTATTAACTAATTAATCGCCAAGCAAAGAAATACTGTAATAATATGTAATATATCTTATTAACTAGGGTAAAACATTATGTCGAAAAAGGGGCGAAGTTGTTAATGAATGCCACCTTCTTATTCTGGTCCTTGCTCCAGTACATATCAATTGTGATATCGTGTAAGAACGAGTATTCCCAAAAACCTTTTCAGTGATTTATTTGTCAAATGAAAATCGTAACAGTTATTATCCTGAGCATATTTTATAGTAAAATTAACAATAAGGTTGTAAACTTCATCACTGAAGAAGAGCTGGAAACATTCGTAAGGGTTTTTTCCGGCGACAAGGTTCTCAATTTCTATCCCTTTTTTAATTTCATGTGATTGTGGTGCTGATGAAAATGTCGGATCAGTTTTTGTAGACCATTTTGGAGTTGTCACTCTACATACTTTACGTTTTTTATATGATTTACTTATTGTTGGTTCGATATTGAACGACTCTGTACTAGGAATCTCTAAAAAGCCGGCAACTTCAACTTTACTTGTGGAAGGTTCCAAAAGGATGGTAAGAAATCTTAAATGTTCGGCAATCTCTCGAATCTCATTGTCACCTACAACGTCACATAATAGATATTATAAAACTTAAAAATAGATAAAATTAAATTTAAAAAAGAGTGAATAGGTTACCTGTTAAAACATTCTCATCAATTATTAATTTCTTCATCTGTCAATTCGTCACAGTCCGGAGGTATTATAGCTATTTCTGTGATGCCATATCAATATCACTGAGATTCTCCAATTCGGCTTCTAATTCCAATAAAGTTAGGGCCATTTTAGGGTTATTTCAACAAATCGACATATTTAGTATTGTCTACAACACTACACAACCTTCCAACCCCAGATTATAACAAAACTGAATACTAGAATACTGTGTGTGTTTCTAACACATAAGATAATAAAGAAATAGCACGTGTGCGTTGTGAAATAACTGTGGGTGTGTCTTGTGTCATCTTGAAATTCCTGACATAACAGATTTTCGAAGTCACTCCCGCCAATGATTCGTTATCGAACCATTATTTTCAAACCCGAGATTTGATGACTCAAAAAGAATTTGTTTGTATTTTGGATATTTTGGAAAATGTTGGATATTTAGAAAATATTTTTGTAAAGAAAAAATGAGTTTGAAAATAAAACAAAATTAAATTTAGTTACACTTATACCTTCTGGTTGCTCAAAAAATGAAAAGATTAAAAAAATTAATGTATTGGCAATAAAAAATTCTACAAAAACAAAAAAATGGTGTGTTTTCGCACCATACGCGGTAAATGGGTTAACGATTAAAAAGCAATGTTTTAAAATTAAATAAGCCTAAAACACTTACCGGGAAATAATAATATAATAAATAATATTTCCTTGTTGTGTTTTTGGGTCTTGAAAATTGTAATTTTGCGTTTTTTTCAATGTTATGTTTATAACTCGAAAATGATCAAGTTTACAGAAACATTTCAACAGATCTATTTTAAACAGTGATTATGCAAAAAATCTCATGGGAATGGGAATGGGAATTTTTCCGAACAAACCCGAGCTTTTCATCTAATCTATAAATATTCTAATATGTTAAGGATAATCACGGCCTAATGGAATGCCCAACATATAGGAAAGTACCAGGCTACGTATGTACCGGGTGGTCCAATAAGCCGATCTCTCGGCTATATATATATCAGAAACTATTCATGTTATAACTTTAGGAGAAAAAATTCCTTAGTAAAAGTGGCCAAGAGAAATCGCTGGAAATAACTTTCAAGATTCTGGATTATCCGCTAGGGGGCGTAACCTGCGAAGAAAATTTTGAAAACCAGTTTTTTGGGAAATATGTTCAATTATACCCAGTGTTAAATAAGTAAACTAGAAAAAAGCATAAATTCTGCACAAAGTTTTTTAAGTACTTTTTTTTTATTTTTTTAAATAAAGGGTGGGGGAGAGTGGGAAAGTATTTGTGGATAAATACCTATAACTTTGGTTTGAATCAACCGATTTTAACAAAATTAGTGTCATTAGAAAGAGTATGGATAAATTAATTTACATCTACTATAAAATAATTGCATTTAGTTTTAATTGCCGTAGGTAGAGGGTACTTTCGAATCGCAAAAATTAAAATTTGTTTTTCTTCAAAATTTTTAATGAAAACACCCATTTATTGTAAATTATAATGAAACTGGATTAAATTCGTAACAAAATGGCGCAAACCGCATGGTAATAGCTTTTATCGAACTCGAGATATGAATAAAAACGCATAAACATAAGTAAGTATAGTATTGACACACCCTGTATTATAAAATAAATTAAAAAATAAGTCAGTAGGTACTTTCAAAATTTTTTACAGCAGAAAACTCTTAATGTTGATACCTATTTTGACCATTGTTATTTCATATGATTAAAAATTGTTTTTTCGAAACTAAGTAGGCTACGACAATGAATTTGGCAGGGAGTTCATATTGTTTATTTATTGACAGCAGTCAAAATATTGTTGTTATATGTATTATAATTCGAATTTAAAATTGCACTTTTTTCAATATATATTAATATTGGTAATATTAGTAATTAATTATCAGTACTAATAATTCGTGATGAGTATATCAAATTGTATGATATGATTGGAGTTTATTTCGAATTTCACCAAAATGGCGCTATTGCCTCACGTATATATTCTGTAAGATATCCTGGAGGAGATATTGTGGCAAAGAAGTAGAGATTTCGGACTACTTATATGTGGATTCTGTTGAATTAAAGCAAGAACATTGATTGAATTATCTTCGGTCATAACTCTACTACGTCGTTTAAAACAAGGACGAGAAAAACTACAAGTTTCTCTTATTTTTTTTTGCCTTTCTTTTAAATACTTCTTTGCCATAATGTCTCCTGTCACGATATCTTACAAAATATATATGTGAGGCAATAGCGGCATTTTGGTGACATTCGAAATAAACACCAATCATATCATACAATTTGATATGCTCATCACGAATTATTTGTACTGATAATTAATTACTAATATTACCAATATTAATATCTATTGAAAAAAGTGCAATCTTTAATTCGAATTATAATATAGCACTTCTTAACAATGTTTTGACTGCTGTCAATAAATAAACAATATGAACTCCCCGTCAAATTCATTGTCGTAGCCTACTTAGTTTCAAAAAAACTATTTTTTACAAAATAGGTATCAACATTAAGATTCCTCTGCTATAAAAAAAATTGAAAATACCTACTGACTAATTTTTTAATGTAATTTATAATACAGGGTGTGTCAATACTATACTTACTTATGTTTATGAGTTTTTATTCATATCTCGAGTTCAACAAAAGCTATTAACATGCGGTTTGCTCCATTTTGTTACGAATTTATTCCAGTTCCATTATAATTTACAATAAATAGGTGTTTCCATTAAACATTTTGAAGAAAAACAATTTTTAATTTTTTTTATTTGAAAGTCCCCTCTACCTGCGACTATGAAAACTAAATACAAGTATTTTATAGTAGATGTAAATTATTTTATCCACACTCTTTCTAATGACACTAATTTCATTTAAATCGGTTGGACCAAATCAAAGTTATAGGTATTTATCCACAAATACTTTCCCACTCTCCCCCACCCTTTATTTGAAAAAATAAAAAAAAGTACTTGAACAACTTTGTGCAGAATTTATGCCCCTTTCTAGTTTACTTATTTAACACTTGGTATAATTGGACATATTTCCCAAAAAACTGGTTTTCAAAATTTTCTTCGCAGGTTACGCCCCCTAGCGGTTAATCCAGAATGTTGAAAGTTATTTCCAGCAATTTCTCTTGGCCACTTTTACTAAGGGATTTTTTTCCTAAAGTTATAACATGAATAGTTTCTGATATATAGCCGAGAGATCGGCTTATTGGACCACCCGGTACAGTTGAAAGAAAAAGATTGTTCATTAAGGTTACCTGAGTGTCTAAAATAAACTGCGACTATTCATTCATTTGTGATAATATTTTAAAGTCAAGAGGACATTAAAATAAATGTTACTAATAATATAAACACTTTTGTACACGAAGGTTAGCTTTATTTGTCTTAAAAATAAATAGAAAAAGTGATTAAACATTTTATTTTACAAAAAAAAAGTTGTATACTTATAAAAAACCATAATATATTTATAATACTAAAATTATCAGGTCTATAATAATAGTTCGTATTTAGATCGCTGTTTTAAACAGATAATCGTCCATATTGGATACTACCACTCCATAATAGGCTTCACAATCCTTGTCCATAACAAGTAAATCATGCCAAATATAAAGGCAAATTTGAACAATTTGTCAACAAACCACATTCTAAAAAAATATTTGTAGTTATATTATTAATTAAACGGTATGGTTAAGTAAAATATAAAGTAAAATATAGATTAGATTACTAATCGACATCTTGAGGACAAGAACACATTTTGTCAAAAATTAGTACGTACGAAACTAGCTAACACATTTTAAATTATTATAAATATTATCTAAACAAAAGATTATTAAAGATTTCACTACATTAACACGGTAGAAAAGGTAAGCCGAAAGACTAGTAAATATAAAACACCGATTAAAAATATATTAAGCTGACCTGTAGTTATGCAGAATTATGTGGAAACAACTAAAATTACTGAAGAAGTTTACTAGTTTTTAGTAAGATAGAAGCCTTTTGATAGAGTACGACATCAGAACTCGTAAAACTGTTAAAAGAAAAGAATGTAGATAGTCGAGATATACGGGTTATTGTCAATCTGTACAGGAATCAAAAAGCAAAGGTTAGAATCGAAAATGTCGATACAGAAACAATAGAAATCAAAAGAGGTATTAGACAGGGTTGCGTGCTGTCCCCATTATTATTCAATCTGTACAGTGAAGCTATTTTTAAGGAAGCAATATCAGAGGAACAACAAAGTATATACATCAATAAACGGAAAAATCCTAAACAACATAAGATTCGCAGACGACACCGCTGTTTTTGCAAACAGTCTAGAAGCATTGCAACGCTTAGTAAATAGATTACATCAAGTCAGTATCAAATATGGACTACAAATGAACGTTAAGAAAACCAAGTTTATGATTATTTCCAAGCAACATACAGTAGGAAGGCTAGATATGAAGGGAAAACAAGTAGAAAGAGTGAATAACTACAAATATCTGGGAACCTGGGTAAATGAAAACAATGACCAAGGTAGAGAAATAAGGGCACGCATTGAAATTGCAAGACAAGCATTTATAAAAATGAAAACAATGTTTGTCAATCGAGACCTTCCTCTGGATCTGAGGATAAGAGCCTTAAGATGCTACGTGTTCTTGACTTTGTTGTATGGAATGGAAAGCTGGATACTCAAAGTAGATAATATAAAGAAGTTGAAAGATTTTGAATAGAAGGATTCCTATAGAAGGATTTTGAAAATACCATGGACCCAACTAGTTACAAATGCAGAAGTGTTAAGAAGGCTACAAAAGGATTGCGAGGTCATAAAGCACATCAAAACAAGAAAGCTGGAATATTTAGGCCACATTACCAGAGGTGCGAAATATGAGATATTAAGGCTCATAATGCAAGGTAAAATCAAGGGTAAAAAAAGATCCAAAGGAAGACGAAGAATTTCCTGGCTGAGAAACCTAAGAGAGTGGTATAGTTGCAGATCATCAGATCTTTTTACCGCAGCCGTAAATAAGGTACGGATAGCTGTGATGATAGCCAACCTCCGATAGGAGAAGTAACTACAAGAAGAAGTAAGAAAGACCATAAGGACATATAGAGGACCAGATGCATACAAAGATTATTTTATAGTCGGAATATAAATGAATCAGCTTATATCAGTTCTTAGAAACCAGCGAAAAAAGTATAAAGCAACTAAACCTATAAGACTAGTGTCAGAAGAAGAACAAAATAAATATAAAAAAAATGGTCCGTAACGCAGTAAATTTACTGTTAGTATTTTGAGAACGATTTCCGAAGTGGAAATTGAAACGTCAATAAACGTATTTTTATCTTTAATTGTGGCTTATTCCCAGTTAAATAGTAATTAATATAAAGTGGTGTTTTCGAGAATTTAAAACTTATTATTTGTTATACTTTATTTAACATCATTTAATTTAATGTCACTATACTTACAACTTCATATGTCGTTTAGCTGCTGGGATGGTATCATCAGTTTCTTTGAGAATATATAATCGGGTGGAATGTACACAATTAGTAAAGTATTCAACATAATCAATACCATCACCATCCAACTTGTATATTAGTTTTTCTCTAGGGTTTAAAAGTTTGCGTGCTTTTAATGAACCATCGTTATCGAAGTCCCATTGATTATTGGCATAGTATTCGAATACTTCGAAACCTTTTGATATTCTTTTTTGGACGCGCATCAAGCTATAAAGTAAAAAGTTCAGGATTATTCAAATATTACTTTTTTACCTACACTGCTCCTACTATTTGTACACCACATAAACATTACATTATAAAAAGGATATCCCTGCAAGGGTAACTTATGTAAAGGTGTGTTGGAAATAGTTACAACTCATAAGTAGATATTGGATTATATGCAAAATTCATATGCATGTATATGCTGCATATTTCTCATGCTTTTCATAAATGAATACCTTGCAACATTTAGAGATTTAAGAGAATATAATTTCATATTTTGATATATAGGAATATTAGTATATTAACATCCAATTAGGAGATGAAAGTACAGGGTTACGGAATTGAACTGTTACCTATTCAAACGACGATATTTTTTTTGTATGAAATTATTTTTTATTGATTTAAATGGAAAAAATGTGTGAAACGATCAAAATTTCAGAATACACTCACTTTAGCTCGATGTAGCCACATTTTGTCTTGACTATGGTCTTCAAACAATTAAAAAACGAGTTGCATGCTGCACGAATGTGACCTTCCGGTATTTTAGCCCATTCACGTATAATTGCTTTCTTCAGCGCATCCATACTGGCATATTTTTTAGTCCTCACCTTGCTTTCCAAAATGGACCAGATGGTCCTGATCCATCGGATTTACGTTTGGCGAATTCGAAAGCCATTGTGTGGATGAAATGAAGTGTGAAACATGGTTTTTTAACCATTCTTGGTTCACACTAGCTTTATGAGACGGTGCCAAGTCTTGTTGGAACGTCTATGGTCTACAACCGAAATGTTTGGATGCAAACGGCTCTGAAGCAGCTTCTAAAATATTTTTCCGATAATAAGTTGCATTGACTTTAACACCAGATTCGATAAAAACAATTTGAGAGCATCCATCGGTGGTTATAGCTGCCCATACCATTACTTGAGATAAGAAATTATTTCGGGTGGCCGTTCGTAAGCCCAAATTTTCGTAGGTGCGTTCGGTCAAGTAAACACGATCATTTTGAGAATTTATGAACTGCTCAATAGGGAAATTTTTCTCATCAGAGAACACTATATTCGGAAATTCGCCACGTTCGCGCAGGCGTAACAACTCCTTTGCTCTTCCAAGCAGAACTTTTTTGTGCTTTGGTGTAAGATTGTGTGCTTTTTGGAACTTGTAAGGCTGGACCTTGATCTCCTTTTTTAATATTCGTTGCATGTGTCGATGGGATATTTTCAGTTCTTTGGCCATTTGATTACCACTACGACGTGGATTTCGCTCAAGTCGAGATTTCACTTTCCGAACCATTTCAGGTGATGTGCTGTTTTTTTTTCGTCCACCACCATAACGTTTAGCAATACTATCAGTATCATTGTAACGAGTTATGGTGCGATACACAAACATTTTATTCACTTTGAGCTGTTTAAGCTGACGAACAATAGCTGGTTGTGATTTTCCAGACAAATATAAACACTATTACGTTTAAATTCCATTGCGAATAACTTTTGCTGTATGTATAAAACTTAAATGCAAATGATTTTGATGGCTTATAAACATACTGAAGTATTATCAGGCCAACTTTGACGTAGCTGTCATTATCGATTTTCCAGCTATATCGATGCGAAGTTGGTAACAGTTCAATTGCGTAACCCTGTATATAATCGGTTTTATATACAGCTAAACAGCTACATTTTTAGCTAAACAATATTACTGCACGAAAATGGTTATTTCAACTTTTAATTCGACATGTCTATTAATAAATGTCAACATAGTTTTAAAGAAAAGTCTATTAAAAATCAAATGTGTTATTCCGTTCGAAACTTGCATTCAATAGATAATATACAGTGAACGTCTAAATTATGGAATATTATCATTATTTCGAGAACTGTCAAGTTTTGAGGAAAATCCCGAAACAGGTCGATTTTTATTATAAAATACCCATCTTATAACGTACATGGAGTAGGGATGACGTCACCGGTGTGGCTGTAGTGACGTAACCGTTAATTTTTTTAAATAGAAATTGATATAATGCCATGATATAAGGAGCTTTTAAAAACATAAAAATTTATAGGGTAATTTAGTAAAAAATAAAGACCATGGAGCACAATAGATTTGCTTAAATCACCCTGTACATTTCCAATATTTATTTAAAAAGCGCAAATTTGATTTCTAATAGTTGACGAATTTTATACTGTATAACTTTGAAATTTTGTTTTATTTTTAATTGATTTGCATGATTTGTTAAGGAGCTTTTAAAAATATAAAAATATACAAGGTGTTAAAATAAAGGATATGGACTAGGCTAGACTTGAGTGAATTACCATGTACATTTAAATTTTAGTAGTAGGTACTTTAAATTTTGATTTGTCACTAAAAATTTTTTGGGGCCAATCTTCTACCGACCAAGAGAGTTTATATTTTGCCTGGCTTGCTTTTGTTCTGGTGTTAACTTTGCCCTTTTTCTTTGCCTATAGGAAACTATAATTAATTAACTACGAGTACTTTATTGTATCCTGTAATTCAATCTTAGAAAATGATCTTACGATTAAATATGTGAATGGCTGTCCAAAGATAATGAAATTTCGTTCATAATTCTTCTGCACTAAAATTTACGGATTGGCTTCTTATGTATACGAATCTAAACTGTCTTATGTCCAAATTTAATGAATTTATAAATACTGTTCAACTTTTAAAACCTCACATTATTCTCCTAACAGAAACGTGGCTTAATTCTTCTATTCCCGATACTATTGTAAACATTGATAATTTTACAATATTTCGTAGAGACAGAGGTACTCGTCGAGGGGGAGGAGTATGCATCTATTTAGCAAATGAAATTACCAACACTTTTTCCATCAGTAATAAAACAACGGACGTACCCGGTATAGAAATTATCCACTTACTTATTACTAAAAACTCTTTCATATTTAATATAGTTTGCATATATCTACCTCCCGATACAGTACTTACTCACGACAATATGCTTATTAACAAACTTGAGGAATTATCATCCCTTGAAAATCTTATTGTTGTTGGAGATTTCAATTTTCCAGAAATAAGCTGGCCCATTATTTCCAAAACTGATACTATTAATTCCCAAAATTTGTTTAAAAACTTTATCATGAACTCAAATTTATTACAACTGATAACTGAACCTACAAGGTTTAGAGCCAACAATAATCCTTCAATTTTAGATTTATTTTTCACAAATGACGATGAATTAATTTCTACTAATGCCACTACTAATTTCTTTGATGTAAATTCAGTTTTATCCCAGATAAACTGTCAATCTATTTTTCCTAATCACGCTGATCCATCGTCAATGTGGGACTCTTTTCTTCATACTGCTATTACAACAATTTCTAATCATACAACCGAACGGCAGGTATATAGAAATCGACTAAAACCTTGGATTAACCTCTCAGCTACTCATTTAATTCGACATAAGCGAAAGCTTTGGCGAAGATATAAACTCACTGGTTCCCCTGATGATTTTCTCTCCCACCGTAATTTTTCTAACCGAGTCAAACAATCTTTGCTAAAGTTAAGAACAGAATTTGAGGAATCTATCATTGCAAGTGGTAATAGTAAAAAAGTTTATCGGTACATTCGTACATCTTTATCTTCTAAAGTCTCCATACCATTGTTTCAAAAAGCTGATGGGTCTTTATGTTCTTCGAATAACGAATCTTCGGAATGTTTATCGTTATCTTTTTCTCGAGTTTTTACAGATGAATCTAACGATACCATTCCTCAAATAATGTGCCCTCGTTTGTCTAAAACTCTTGACAATATATCTTTCATACCGGATGAATTAAACATAATTTAAGGAAACTGCGAAATAATTCATCACCTGGATTAGACGGACTCGCCTCTTTTTTCCTCAAACAATGTGCAGATTCTGTAGCCATCCCTATATCTCTCATAATGACTGCTTCTTTTAATCAAGGTTCCCTCCCCTCCTCGTCCTGGAAATTGGCTTCAGTTACTCCTGTATTCAAGAAAGGTAATAAACTTGATTGCAATAATTATCGTCCAATCAGCCTGGTTCCTATTGTCAGCAAGGTCATGGAATCGATTATTTCGGAAGCTATGTCCGAGTTCCTTCTTCAAGAAAATGTCATCCCTCACCAACAGCATGGATTTATCAAAGGTCGTTCAACGATCACAAACTTACTTCATTGTGTAAATGATTGGTCATTATCTTTAAACAATCGGAATCCTGTCGATGTAGTTTACTTAGACTTCTCCAAAGCTTTCGATCGTGTTCCAAAACGTCGATTACTAGCTAATTGGATCATTATAGTATCCGCGGAAAATTCAACATTTTAATACAAGATTTTCTATCCGACAGATACTTCAGGGTTCGTGTTGGGGAAGACCACTCATTAGATAAGCCAGTCAAGAGTGTAGTTCCACAAGGATCAGTACTTGGACCGCTACTTTTTTGTGTCTACACTAGTGATCTTCCGCTTATTGTATCCAGTAAGGTTTCCATTTACGCTGATGACACTAAGTTATATGTGAATCCAACTATTAACCAACATATTCTTCAACAAGATCTTGACGCAATATTCAAATGGTCCTCAGAATGGTTACTTCCGCTTAACATTGAAAAATGCGTTGTTTTACATATCGGCAAAAAATAACCCATCACTTCCGTACTTTATTAATGGACATCCTTTAAACTCTTTAACCTCACACAACGATCTCGGAGTGATAATTAATAGTTACTTAAATTGGTCTGATCACATAGTGTCGGTGTGTAAACGTGCTAACTCGAAACTGTTTTTGATTCGTAAGTGTTTTGCACGCATATCTCTAACCTCTGTTAGTAAACTTTACTCAATATACGTTAGACCTATTCTTGATTTTGCCGGACCAGTGTGGAATCCAGATCTTAGTCGCGATAAAATCCTACTTGAAAACGTTCAGCGTAAAGCCACAAGACTGGCATACGGCCGTGTCGGACACTATGAAGATAGACTATTCATGGCTCATCTTACGACATTCGAGCAGCGACG